CAAAAAGGTCAAGGGTAAATAAATATACAGATAGTAAGTGTGCTATATACAATATTAATAAGGTTAATAAAGGAAAAATGAATTTCATATGGAATAAATCCAAAAATCCTGTTATCCTTCAGACTATAAAAGAAATTATAGATGAGTTGAAACTACAAATAATATTACATAAGGTAAAAGCACATGAAGGTAACTATTTCAATGAAATGGCAGACTAACTGTCTCAAGTTTCAGAAAAAACAATAAAAGAAGATTATGTTTTAAAATCAATTATAATAATTTTGAAAACAGATCATTTATTCCAACATGGGAAGAAATACCTTTGGAGTTTCCTATAAAGCAAGCTTTAAAAAAAATAAATATAATTAGACATAGACAAAGTTGAAAACTGCAAAAAAGATTTCAAAAAATTCTAGATGATGAGAAGACACAAAAAAATTGATTAGATTACTACATTTAAAACATTACACCCAAGTAAAATAACAAATGATAACACAAGCAAAGAAGACCACATTAAAAGAAGTTTTGCAATGAAACTCTAATGGAGAACTGCCAATAATGCTCAAAAGATTCAAGCATCAACCTCACATATATAACAATCCAAAATATATACTATGAGGAAGATATGAGGAAACTGAAATACATGTGTTTGAGTGCAAAAGAAAAAACAATAGAGTTAGTGAATATACCCCAATGACAAAACATTACAAACAACTAATAGATTGCCTAACAACAAAAATTCAAAGACAAACAGATGAGATGATGAAGACAAAATACAAATAGAACTCAGATCCCTAAGTGGGTTATGGAATTGGTGGGAATACAGATGAAATGAGTTTATCTAGAATTACATTAAATGAATTAATTAAGGGATACATACCATATTCATTAGTATTTAAAGTTATATCAATGTTGAAATCTAGGGAAAGGGCTAGGGAAACAATTATTGAAGGATTGTCGACTTCAAAGAATACTTAAAAGACTACTGGAAGGAATGATGTGAAAAAGTGGCATTATAGGAAACTGAAAATAATATTACAAATAGATTGAAAAGACAAAAAAAAGGGAAAAGTAGTTTAAAAAAAGAGGGAAAAATGTTAGAATACAATGTCAGTTCAGATTTAGTAGAATCTAATGAAGGGAAATATAATAAATTAGAACAAATAGAAAAAAACATGATGTATAAATTTAGAGTGTGTATTAACTTAGGATGCAAATACAATGATAATTATAGTTATAGATATAATAATTACATCTGATGGGGTTTTGGCCATCAGTTCCTGAGGTTACACTCAGGCAACAATGAGTCTGACCATAAAATCTTTATTTTTAGTCAGTTAAAAATTTACATCTAATATATTAATAAAAGTTTATTGGGACAAGACTCTGTTGGATTTAAAAAAAGTATATATATTTTAGATTAAAAATCAACTTAAGTTTCGAGGTAAAATGCTATTATAATATATGGAATCACTAAAAATTCAACAAAAATGGATATATGATGGTTATGAGTTATGCAAGATATGGTAGTCTTCGAAAGTATTGAATAACAAGTATAGAAAATTAATTTGGAAGAGAAAATCTACTATTCTATTATCTATTGCAAATGGACTTAAAAATATTCATGAAATTGGCGTAATGCATAAAATTTTCATTCTGTTAATCCAAATATAATTACAGGTCAAATTACTGATTTTGGATTGTGCAAACCAGTTTCAGAAAATGATCCAGGAAAAATTTATGATTTAATTCCATACATGGCACCCGAGACATTAAGCAGAGGAGAATATACTCAAGCATCTGACATTTAATCTTTTGGTATGATTTATGTTGGAAGTTATTACTAGTTATCCACCATATTATAATATTTCACATGATGTAAATCTTGTAATGAAAATTTGCAAAGGGCATAAACCTGAAATTAAATGTGAAATTCCTCAATTTTTCAAAGAAATAATGGAAAAATGCTGGAATTTTGAACCTCTCAATCGTCCAACTGTTGAAGAATTGAAATTTCAACTTAATAAATATTCTTATGGTGGTGAAATAAAAAGACAAGTTAGAGCAGCAAATAAATCAAATTAGAATTTTATTCCATATGATCCAATTGAAATGCATTCCAAAGCAATATATACAAGTAGACTGATACTTAAACTTACAATTCCTAAATGTGATACATTTACTGAATATGGTACATTTAGTAAGTATAGTTTATTCATGTAAGAAATAAATTTGATATCTTTTTTAAAAAAAATAATTTAATATTAATTATTTATTTAGATTCAAGACAGCAATTTTTTCAATTCCTGAAATGATTGATAAATTTATTTCTTCAATTTATTTCTTTAATTATTTTTTCTAATATATTTATATTAACTATATTATATTTAAATTTGTATAATTGAAGATGAAGAAAATGAAGCTCAATAAATAGAATACAAATTTAATTCACTTGGAATTAATAGAATAATTGGTTTAGAATTAAATATTTATATTTTAATTTCAAATATACTATATTTTATTTTATCTTATTATTATATTCTATATAAACTATTTATTCATTTATTTTATTATATTTGATATTTTTATTATTTGATTTGGTCACTGGAATTATAGAGTATAGCTTTTATTTAAATTAAAGCAGACCAGTATGTAATCTTTAAATAAATCATTTCTGTCTTGATATTTCAAAAATCTTAATATTTGGATTATTTATTATTTGTGTTTATGCTATACTGTTTATAAACCATGTAAAGAGGAACTGAAAATCCATATCAGTTAACTTTTCTTTTTTAACTTTTATAATTGATGCAAAATGAACAAATGAGCAAGGTGGTTAATTGTAAATCAAGCACTGTTTATTGTGTATAAACTCATATGCTATGCATGTTATTTTCTTTCTAAACTAATAATATATTTATTGTTATCAATAAATAATAAAATTTAATAAATGAACAATTATTTTTTTTAGAACAAAACCTAGTAAATTTTTATAAAACAAATAAAATACATCATGTATTAATTATTATCATTATAATCATCTTTCCATAATTATCTCTATGAAGATGATATTGATAAATAGATATTGTTCTTTTATTAAATAAAAAAAATCAATTCTATAGTATTCGCTTGGGGTTAGATTGGTGAAATCTATAAAATTAGGTATTTGAATTATTCTTATATTTCAATATACGATAGAATCGATTATTCAATAGAATTTAAATCATTTTTAAAATTAAATTCATTCTTCAAACAAATCACGTATTAGTTATAATTACATACTTGGTTTTGACACTTTAATCGCGCATAAATTCATTCTATATGTGTCCGAATTTAGAAAGATTGGTTATAACCTATTGAATATATCTCGATGCAGTTCATGATAAAATAACTCGAATTTTTTTTTTAATCTTATAATTTATTTATTTGTCAAAGTATAATCGATTCTCCAATATCTAAAACGTGACCTGAATTTTGTAGTCTTCTTTTTAATAACGATCAAAGTGAGAGAGAATACGATCGTTCAATACGAAAGTAAACCTACAAACTCATTCTTCACATCATTTTCGCCCTAAAAGTAAGACAAAGTTACGGAGTTCATAGTAATCATCGACATCAGAGAACAAATTTAAAATTTAATTTTCACGAACATTATCAAAGATATTATGGAGAATAATTAAGAAGAGCTAAAGCAGCGGCTGAAAGGGATAGATTAAATAATATTAACAGGTTCAAAATAGATGACTTCTAAAATTAATTTTTATTGCTGGCAGGAGACCCATTTTTGCATTGGATTCATCTCGGGATGATAATGAATATATATGTAAATCATTTTGATGATCATAACAGTGAATATAAAAATATATATATAAAAAAAAAAAAGTCAAATGTTGAATTTTTTAATTTCATTAATTGTATTATTATGTTTATTTCAAATTCAAAGAAAATAAAGAATTTATTCATAATCTTTACCAATATTAAGGTAAAAAATTAATATATGCAAGTCTTACATAATAACAAAATAAATTAACTATTACTTTAAAAACAGATTTTCTTCTAATCTTTATTAAATTTTTTTACCGGGTATAAATAATAAACATGCTAGAAAAGCAATGGATTTTGAATTTTATAATGAAATATAATGAAATATAATATAATATTATTACACTAAAATGATTTCAATATCTCACTTGATTAGAAATAATTCCAGTCTCGATAAATGAACCCAAAACAAATAGGTAACAATATTAAATAATATGTTTATAATAAATGAAATGAATATTTTTATTCTAACTCTTGTACGGGTTCTAAACCATGAATCAATGTACCCGCCGTCTCCATTCAATTGAATATAAGTTCGAGACTCTCATTTTATTATATTTTTATGATTAATTAGGCAAAAAGATGAAATATTGCAAATCGGAAAAATTTAGATGACCAAATAAGGGCGAAATAAATCATGTGAAGATCGATTTTTTTTTTTAAAAAAATTCCAAATGGCTGATGATAATAGTTACGAATTGATTACTCTTTTTCAAATGATTGGTTTAACTGAACAACGTGCCAAAGATATCGCTAAAAAATAAAAAACTTGCACTAATTTTAGAATCGACTATTATCGAAGATGGTTTTATTCATATTCAATATGATAAATCCGTCGGTGCATTAGTTTATACACTGTTCCACAGATGTTCAATTTTTAATTATACAAAAAAAAAATGCATCAATCTTAACCCTTTATTTGGGAATTACAATTTTTTTTTAAAAGGAAATTGTTTATGTAGTACTACTTCTTTACATAATTAATCATCACATTTATCTGTCATTATTTAATATTGATTGGTATATTTAATTTGCGCAGAAGTTAATTAATAAAGTTAAATAATGTACTAAGCGTTATTGTATAAAACTATTTTCTGTTTTCTTAGAAACCAATACGGTAAATTAAATTAAATTTTTTTTTTTTTTTAAAAAAAAAACCGAAAAAAACTACTGCTTGTATGGAAGAATCAAATAGCATAAGACAAAATGTACCAAATGTATCTAATGATCGTGTAGTATTAAATGTTGGTGGTGTTAAGGTAAATAAATTTACTTTTATAAAAATTATTATTATTTAAAATTATTATTAATTATTATTAAAATTATCATTTAAAGTATTATTAAAAATTATTTAAATTATTAAATTATTATTTAAATTATTATTAAAAATTATTTAAATTATTATTTAAATTAATATTAAATTATTTATTAATTATTATTTAAATTATTAAATTATTAAATTATTAAATTATTATTTAAATCATTATAATAATTTAGTATGAAACATATCGATCAACTTTAACCGCTTATCCTGATACACTTTTGGGTACAATGTTTCAAGAAAGAAATAAAAGTTTACTTATACCAACCAATGAAAATGAATATTTTTTCGATCGAGATGGTCTCATATTTCGTTACATTATTCAATTTTATCGTACTGGTGAAATTTTTTGGGCGGAAGATACAAATTTTATTTATGAACCCACTCAAAGTGTTTATATTAATCGAAGAGAGTTAGAATTAGAATTAGATTATTTTCAAATTCCTTATCCCGGATTTGGTGGTAGTATAGGAGGAATAGATAAATTTGGAGTAGTAGAATTAGTTGATGGATTTTTAAATGCTTTAGATAACGTGGCTTATCATGTTATTAAAAAATATCATGCTACAATAAAAATTCAATTTAGATTAGGAATGATTGATTATGATGAAGTTGATCAAGATATGGAATCTTTAGTTAGTGAATTATTATTACCTTTTAAATTAGTTGGTTATAAAATACTTTGTAAATTTGATAAAGAAATTGCTGCTTATTTATTGAATAATCATAAATCAATAGATTCTAGAGTTATGAAAAGAACCAATAAGGGTTATTATGAAATTAGGTTATCTATGAAAGATTTTGATAGTTTAGATGATCAAATAGTATTTAAATATTCTAAATTATCTAAAGTTGTTGATCCTTCAAAGATAATATCTAACAATTTTGATAATGATGAAAATAATGAAAATAATGAAAATAATTATAATGATAATTAATAAATATTATAAAATTGAATTTATACTCACTTCAATAAAGGTTTCCTCTTATTTTGTCATTAAGAAAATGTTGACAGAATTTTTAATTTTGATTTTATTTTTTTTAAGAACGTGTAAATAGTGTAAATATATTAATATTGAAATACCTTTTCCTTCCTTTTATTAAATGAAATTAATAAAATTTTATTTCTGATAATTAATTCAATATTATTTTTTTTTAAAAAAAAAAATAATAAATTACAATAATTAGTAAAATGTAATTTAAAATATTAATACATATAACATATCCAAAAAATTCAATCTTGACAGAATTAGCTAAATAAGATAGAATAAATTAATATAATTAATTATAATAATATAATAAAATTCCTCAATAAGTTTTATTAATCTCAATAATATTCAACTCATTTCTCAAAATAAAATATTTATCATCTCGTAAAACCTCTGGAGCTATATATAAAAATTTTCTTTTTTCTTTTAATTATATGACAATAAAATATTTCTAGACGAAAATCTTATATTTAATTCAAGAAAAATCAGATGCTAAACTCCATAAATAATTTCTTTTACTAACATTTATTTTCCCGAACATTACATAAACCTTTAATTTTGAATGAATCATCTCATTTGAATAATAATAATAATAATATTTATTTTTTTAATTAAATAATTTTTTTCTGAATTTATGTTTAGATGAAAATTGCGCTTCAAAAAAATCATGTTCATTAAATCGTTATCGAATTGAGTAATCAGAACTAGTTTATAAAAGAAAATTTTTTATGGGGATAATTATTTTCTCGCTCGCTGAGAGTTAAAAATTAGTTTAACTACGCGTTTTATTATTATTAAGAATAAGCTTTGCATATAAATAATAAAATGAAATGAAGTTGCTCATATGATGTTTTAGACGTATACAACATTTTTACATTTTAAAACTCTCACTTCATTTGAATTATTAATTAATAATAAATAAAAAAAAATTTAGTGACTTTCTCAAAGGATTCTGTTATTTGTATACTAAATAATGTTTTATTTCAAGAGTTTGGAACCTGATCTATCTAGTGAGAATGTTAACATTTATAAGGTCATCCAAGAATCTCAAATAAATTATCTCTTTAGGTTACATTGGAACCTTATGATAATTTTCAAGGCATCAAACAGTACAGTGTATTTTGCTAAATTAAATAAAGGGAACGGGCTTTCGTCCAGAACGGTTGGTCGTCTTTCAAAGTATTTCGACCAATGTGTTGTTTACGGTACCAAATTCCAGTTTCCTTTCCTAATAAATTTTTAATTTGCATATATTATAATTGACTTACATTTTGTAAATAAAAATCCATGTTTAAGATATAATCGATTTTCTTTAAATTTTTTGTGCTTCTCTTCTCGTTGAATTGATTAGATAGTGCTCACCACCTCGATAATATTTTGTTGAGTTAAAGCTGCGGATCCTTTTATTTCTTTCATTTTACCATCAAGAACTTTTATTAAAACTGATGATGGTCACGTAAATTAATTCTATGATATGAATAGTGTCTTATATTACAGATATATTGGAAATAAGATTGCAACTTTGTTCATCTTATGGATCAGATCTTGTCTAAATCTAAATTATAAACACGCGATTTTTCTTGATATAATGAAATTGCATAGCATACTCGATTTCAATACTTTTAGTTGTGGATTCTTTAACAGTTTAGTTTATGAGCTAAATTGAATTGCACATTTTTACTTGATTCTATTTAAAAGAAAATAAAAATAAAGTTTAATCTTTAATACAATCTATGATTAGACATATCAGCTCGATTTCTCAAAGGGGTACGTATGTGATTTTATATTTTAGATTCTAATATTTTTATTACCAATAAAGGATTTTGAAAATTTATTTACTCGTGTTAAATTATTATTTTAGATTAAATAATTAATACATTCTCCTTGTATAATTAATTGCCATGGAATTTCAAAAAAATTCTCATACAATTACTTGAAAATAGCTATAGCTTTACTTTACATACAAGTTTTAAATCAAAAAAAAAAAAAAAATTTCGGATTTAACTTTTGTCGTTTCTTTATTATTACAGTATTCAGTATTACAGGCTTAAAGAAAGTTAATAAAGTTATGGTTATAGGAACTAATTTTTAAAGAAAATTTATAATTATCATGTGTAAAATGAACCAATGAATTTTCATCTGCCAGAAGAAAAAGATAACGTTCTATTTAATAAACAAACATCAGAAAAAGTTGGGCTAATTTTTTTTTTAACTATTATAATAATAGTGGAAATTTTTTGAGATAGCATAACATTACCATCTTCAAACCCCATCCGAAATCATCATGGTATATAAGCATAATATTTCATGGATTACAAGGTTCGTTAAAAGACAAAAACTGGAAAACTTCCAGGTATTATTTGTTAGAATGATTGATTTTCTAATAATTTTAATAATTTTATATTTTGATAAATAAATTTTAAATTAAATTTTATCTATTATAAATCTTAATTTATTAAAACCTAACTCAATAATGAATCATTTACTTCTAGTATCAATTCTTATAAGGCTGATTCTAAAGAATAGTTAGAATTTATTGATTGGGGATAAAGAAATTTAAAATCAAGCATATAAAAGATTATTCTTCAACTTTAGAAAGTAATTCAAAAGAATCCGATGAATAAATTGGTTTCGGATAATGAAGATAATATTTCATTTAAGAAAACTAAAAAAAAAAAAAAACTAGCTAATACGAAATGCATTGATTTTTTTTTTTTTTTAAAAAAAAAAAAGAATTCATGTTTATTTTAAAAAAACCAAATAATCTTTAAGTATAAAAAATTGGTTTAGATAGATAGATAGATATATATATATTTTTAATTTATTAATAGGATTCAATTTTGAGTGATATATTCTATTATTTTGCTAAATTATTATTATGCATTCAAATAAATGATATAAGATCTAGCTATTTACATAAAAAAAATCAAATATTATGTGATAAAGGATTATTTTTAAATTCTCCAAAATTCTAATCTATCACGAATTTACCGTGTCGTGTCGTGTCTTGTCGTGTACTGTATTATATGTATATCAGATATATATAAAACTTTAATAAGATTGCAAGGATTCAGAATGCTTGTCGATTGAAAAAAACAGCGGCCCAGATTCACTAACTTTAGATCCTTTAAAATTCCTCAACCCTAATTTTGGCCGGTTTTCATCTGTATTATAGAAATTCTCTATTTATTAATTTTGAATAAGAAAATAAAAAACGTAAAAAATTTGATAACCTATTATTATTTAATGTCTGATTCAATTACTTCTATATCTATGGGCATTTTTTTTTTTTTCATCTACGATTATTGGATATGGATACATGTGAATATATAAGTAGGTAGGTTAATGGTGTGTTGTTGTTGTTATTAACATGATAATCCAAACATTGGTTTCTGTGTGACTTTAAACATTTCTAATTCATCCATTCCCCTTTCTTGACCTCTGGTCAAAGCGAGATCATATCCGGCTGCTCTTACTCTACTTAATACAGGTTTCTTACTATTCTTTCCTTCATTAAATGAAAACATGAAACTATCATGCGTTCGAGCACTTGAACTCGTATTACTCCATACACTCGAAATATACATTCCAAAAATTTCTTCGGTTGATTTGATCTTCATTAACATGATGGTCTTAGCTATACCACCACATCTTTGATGTAATGATTGTTGGGAAAATCCATCACGAGAACCTCTCATGATTAAAGTGAAATCATATGGAATATCAGTACTAGAATATTCTTCATTAACTTCTTTTTCTTTATGATCTATCCAGGTCGCAATGATTGCCACATGTTTTAAAGTAATAAGTTTAGAATCAATAGGTTTTAATCTAGGATTAAATAAATTTGCTTGCTTCTCTGGCATTAAGAAATGCCATAATACATTATCATATAATTCATGACTTAAAAGTTTTTTAAATGGCCAAACTTTTTCACGAAATTGTTCGGGGGTCATTAAACTAAATCGAATATATGGAATACAAGGTGATAAAGATTTTTGAAATTTATTCCATAATTCTTGATTCCATTCACTAGGATCTTGAGATATTGGTGTTGTCGTCGTTGAAGAAGAAGAAGAAGATTGTTGTGCAAATCCCCATTTAATTAAATAATTCCAAATATCAATTTCGTGTACGGCTAAACAATCTCGTTGAAGTAAAGCCGTTAATAAATTAATATCCGTATAATAAAAATATTCCGAATCAAAAAGTAATGGGGGATCCGAACATATTAAACTTAGACAAAAATTTTGAAGAGATTTATAAATTGTTTGACTAAATGCGAAATCGAGAACAGTGTAAAATTGTTCTTGTATCCACTGAGAACGATTTTCGATTAGATATTTTTGAACTTCTTCAATAAAATCAGGTAAAATGATTTCATCGGCGGCGGTTAAAAGATTCAAAATAGATACACCATCTTGATTTTCGATTTCTATAATTCCTGCGTACATATATCTACAAAAAAAATTAAAAACAAATTATATTAACGATTAAAATAATAAAAATTATATTAAGTATAAAAATTAGGTAATAGGTAATTGGTAATGTAGTGAAGTGAATATTGGATTATAAATATTTACTTTAAAATAATCTCGAAAACATTCGGCGAAACATTAGGTTTAATAAATAACATTTTATCATCTTCAACTCGAACCCATTCTTTTGAAAGAGCTCTTTGAAAATAAGGGGAATGAACTTTTAATATAATGGAATGAGCTCGAAAACTTTTTATATCGGGTTCTTCACCAACATTTATTATAAGGTCATGACCTTCAGCTGACTCTAATAAATTTAAATAATTTTGTGAAAGTAATTCCCAGCTTTTTGACATTGCTTTTTTAAGAAATTTTTTTTTATTTTGTTTTTTTTTTTTGAAGGGGGGCGAGAGGGTTATATATATATATATATTAATTGACAATGATTATTTTTTTTTTTTGATAATGATTATTTTATTAGATTATAAAAACAATAATCGAGAAAACAATAATATCGAGTAAAAATAGGAAACGAGAAAATATAATTGGTAATCACCTACAATTCGTTTTTAAAAAAAATAAGAAAATTTATTCTTTTTTATTCTAGTTATGAAACCATAAATGAATAATAAAATTGACTAATATAAATGTTTAAACAGTTTATATGGGATTATATGTATTATTATATGTCAGTATGTGTTAATAAATGTACGTTGAATTAAAATTAAAATGTAATTAAAAAAAAAAAAAGGAGAAACAAAGAAAATATATTTGATAAAATGATGATCAATCTGCTTATGTATGTTACTCCATTGTTGATCTTTTATAGAACTAACCTTTATATTTCACAATTTTGACATAATTTTATTTAATAAAAATAAATTTTACATGCACATAGATCTCAAAAAAAAAAAAAACTTTCCCTAAATTTAAATAGAAAAAAAAAAGCCAGATTGAACAATGATGATGCAATGATTGATAATGATTGATCTAAATTTGATAAACGTCAAATGACGGGTAAGTTGAATGAGATGATGAATTTGAATGATGAGTTTCTCTTTATATAATATCTATTAATCTAAGAAAGTTACTTCACAATTATAAAATATTTATAAATGATGATTTATAAATGATACCTTCTATATTTTGACAGTCAGTTAAAGTTTAAATATTGTATGCCTTTAAATAAAATTTAAATTTTGATAAATAGATAAAAAATAAACTCATCCAAGGGAAATTCACCCCTTTTATTGGATATTTAAATTAAAGTTTAATTTCTGTTCAATTAACAACTAATTAAGTTACACAGGCGACCAACTTTATAAAGAAATATACTCGTGAATTCTTACGTATGTCAGAGAATATTTATTACAGTATTTAATTTAATAACAAAAATATCTCTTTCGTAAAAAGAACACGGACCTGAATAGTGAACCATAATTTTTTTTTTTTAGATAAATTCTTTTTTTTGAAACAAACAAGAAAAGATATGTACGGTGATGTGTGAGAGAATTTCTTTCAACAACTAATTATGGTTATAGCCTTATCATCTATAACTTTATATATATATATATATTTATACTTTATATATACTTTATATATACTTTTATATATATACATATTCGATATACTTAATATGTAAAAATGTAATTTATAAAAGATCTAATAATTCTCCACAATGCTTTTGCCGCAGTTAAGTGGGTGCGCCATGATGCATGACAATTTATAATCTATCCATTATTAGTTAGCAAGGTTTAATATTATAATTATTTTGAACGAATACCATGAAAAATAATTGGTATAATAATAATTTATAATAATAATTTATTATTAATTAATAATAATAATTTATTTATAAAATATCTAAGAATTCTAAGAAAGTTAGATGGAGAGAAAAACAAGAATCCGAGATAATCAATCATTTTTTTTTAAAAAACAAATTAAAAATTCTTCATTTTTGATCCGTCAATTCCGAATTACACAAAAAAAAAGATAGAAAATTATAGATATAGTTCTGTTTTTGTTAATTTCTGAATTCACGTGGGAAATACGGAAATACGGAAATACTTGATAAATAATTTGCTAAGCAATTTATCCCTTTCATTCATTATCATTATTTATTTTCTGTGCATTCACAAGTATATATATATATTAACACATTACATTTTTTTTGTAAGTAATAATAAATATATCATTTATGTTATTTGAAATAATAAAGTTTATCATTATTATAATTATATTCATATGAAACGACGTTGATAATTGTTACCAAATAAAGTTTCGCATTCTTTTTATTACTATTTATTATATTATCAATATCATATTACTATCATCATTATTAATTTGTTATTTATATATATATAACGTATATATTTATTTATTTATTTATTATAAATTCTTTTCTTTTTCTTTCTTTTATTTTAAAATTTTTTATTTTAAATTTTATTTTCGTATAAATTTAGAGAGATAAATTTTCACACAAATTTAGAGAACAAATAATAATAAAAAAAAAAAATCATGGTTCGTCAAAGTCAAATGTTATCCGCTTCCCCTTCAACTTTCTCACCTACTAGTTCCACTCCAAGGTGGCATCAAGTTGATAAGCGAATATGTTACTCATTCCCTCGTACTAGAGATATTTCTATTTATGCTTCAGGAGCTTTGGTAAATTAATTATTGTTATTGTGGTTGTTATTATTATTATTCATTTATCGAAACACTTAATTGATATAAGTATATTAGATATTGTTAGATATAAAAGGTAGGAAAGGTTTTTTGAATAGATGAATAATAATAATAATTAATAATAATAATAATAAAAACAATAATAATTATGTTGATAAATTTTATAAGAAATTAATTTTATCGTATCGAATAGTTTGCTATAGGATGGTGGTCATTCATTGATGGACTCGTGTATTTGGCGATGAATAAAAGCGAAAATTTATCCAACGTTACCGTTCAAGATTGGATTTGTGGAATATTAACTACGATTGGAATGATAATGTATGAATAATTTTTTTATATTATTATATATATATATATATATTTTGATTTGATTTGATATTTATTTCATTTTAAATATTTTATAAAACTAATTTAATATTATCTTTTATCTTTTTTTTTTTTTTTTTTTAAAAAAAAAAAAAAGTGTGAACTCAATAGATAAATCTATTATAACTGACGAAATTTATGCCTTTTCTAGAACACTCTGGAAAGCTAGAAGAATTTTATTAATAGGCTATACTCTTTTGGCAGGTGGTTTTATTGGTTCTTTGGTATGTTTACTTTAATTAAATTATTATTAATTAATTCTTTATATCGTGAATTTATTATATTAATTATTTTTGTTATTATTATTATTATTTTAGACCGTCTTTTATTTTGATTATATAACACAAAACAGAACTATGGAACAATTTCATTTTGGTATTGCTATGCTTATTCAGAATGTTTGTATTTTGATGAGGTAAATTTCATTATTATTATTATTATTTTTAATTATTATATTTTTAATCACAACATTTTAACTGTTTCTTTTGATCCTTTATTATTACAGTTCGCTCATTCTATTAATTGGTCAAAGTTCTTCTAATGAAAATAAATATGATTTTCTTTAATCAAACCACTTCTAACACATTTCACATTTTCGCAAATTTTCACGTATCTCTCTCATATCCCACACACATGTATCTCCCCACATTTCGCACATTTTCACGTTTCTCATCCTACGCGCATGTATCTCTCACACATATTCCATTTCTCTCTCACATCACATTCAAATATCTAATAATCATTCCATTTACATCCATCCGCAGTACAAATTTATTATTATTGGTACTACGATGATTATTATTATTCTTTTAATTACTGATTACTTTTTTTTTTTTTTTTTTACAAATACATTATTTTTTCATTTTACTTTACTATCTCTATAAACATTTATTTGTACAATTATTTCAATTAATAAACAATAATCCATTGTTTAAATTGAGTTGTTTTTTTTTTATTTGAAAATAGTAATAACTAAAGAAATAATAACAATAATAATAATAATAATAATAATTAATAATAGCTATAATATCTAAAGTAAAGTAATAATAATAATAATAATAGTAATAATATCTAAAGTATAGTAAAATAAAATAAGAAACATAGAAATTATAGAGACAATAATATAATATACTTTGATTTATACCAATAATTTACTTTTTTTTTTTTTTTTTGATAAAAGAAAAAGAAAATAAAAATAATAATTTAAAAAAATAATCATCATATGAATTTTTAATTTTCTAATTAAAAATTTCTTATGGCGCATTTTGTCCCACGTATAATACGATTTACTAATCTTTTTTATTTGAAAGGTCTCATTATTTAATCTGTAATCATTACCGTTTGACAGGTGATATTTTATAAATATGTATTAAAACAAGATTTTCCGTGAGAATTTACCTTTCAAACATAATGAATTTCCACTTTTTTTTTTTCATCTTATTATTCTTAAAATTTTCAATAATAATAATAATAACAAATGCTTCATTTGAACCTAAAGTTCGAAATTATCATAGCTCAGTATATATTGAGAATAAACTTTATATATTGGGAGGATATAACAATGGTCCCTTAGATAATTTACTTTATTTGGATTTATCTAATTCATTTCATAAAGATCATCCACCATGGTATAATCTTGATTTTCGCGAAATACCTTTTGGAGTTTATAAAGCAGCCGCAAATTTTGGTGGAATTGATAATTCAACAATTTTTTTAATTGGTGGAGAAAGAAGTGAAAAAAATATTAATTATGTTTATTCATTTAATACCAAATCTTTTGTTTGGAATGACTCATTAATAAATGATGATAATGATAATCCCGAGTGGCATATAGACATACAAGGGGTTACTGATCGTAATGGTAAAATCTACATTTATGGTGGATGGTTATCTGGAATTCGTTCCAATAAATTATCCATTTTGGATACTTTAAGATTATCATGGACAATCGGTCCTTCTCCTGATTCACAAAATAGTCGTTATGGGAATACTATTACATTATTATCTAATGGAATTATTGTTATCATTGGAGGATATGTTGATGGTGGAGGTGGACTTTATGAGGTAAATTATTCATTTATATTTATATATATACATTATAATGATTATTATTATTATTATTATTATTATTATTATTATTACTTTAACTCACATAATAATGTTTATAATAATTATATCTAGATTTTGCTTTATGATACAAATGAAAACAATTGGAATTCCATGGTAAATTCCAATTAATAAAAAATTAATTTATTTCTATTTTAATCTAAATAATCATTTGTAATAAATTATTATTTTTTTTTTTCAGATTACTCAAGGGATTAAACTTTCAGATCGTGTTTATCATACAGCAGTATTAAGTAAATTTTAATTTTTTTTTTTTTTTTAATATAATCGTTTAAATTTTTACAATTACATTAATACCTTTTTTTTTTTCGTTTAATTTTTTTGATAGCAAATGATGGTAAAATAATAGTTTATGGTGGAACTAAAAATAATCATGACCCTGATTTAGTCATTTTGGATACCAACTTTCAACCTTTTAAATGGTCAACTTTAGAAGTTAATGCGATTAATAGTCCTCCATCATTATTTGGTCATACTGCTAATCTAATTGGAGATTATATGATTTTAGTATTTGGTAAATGTTTTTATATATATATATATATTTATCTATTTTTCTATACACATATTTTATATTAGAATTAAATTTACATATATTTTAAATTTAGGTGTTATACCTCAATCCGGGGAATATAATCGATATATCTATCTGATGGATGTAAAAAATTATACTTGGGTAACGGATTTTCATCCCGAAAAAAATATTATCACTAAAACCGAAGTAAAAACAACGACTAGTGTAGTAACCTCAATTAGTGAAGTTACAAGAACAGATAAAATTACAATAACAAACATTTTAACAACAACAACAACAACAACAGAAATTTCAATAACTGAAGTTCCTAAACCTCCCGAACCACCAGCTAAATCTAACAAATCTTTTATATCAAAGAGAATGATTTTTCAATTATTTTGTGAAATTGTAGTTATTTTCCTTATTTTATGTGAAAATTTAGATCAAAAACATATTTCTACATATTTATCCGTTATAGCAATTTATATTTCATTCGTATTTGTCTTCAATCTAATGTTATTTTTTAGATAGTTGTCAATTTTCCTCTTTGATATATAGAAATACAACATATAATTTATTTCTATTAAATATTATAATAAAGATCAATTCAATAGATAAAACTTCCGTAATTATCCAAAGATTTTTTTTAATAATGAAAGAAATAAATACAAATTAAGAGACAGATAAATAATAATTTAATTTTGAATAACATTTTGAAAATAAAAACTATATCTTCAGTTATATAAAGATTTTATAAATATATAATGATTGAAATGAAACCTAATCATTTTATAAATCTCAACAAAAATCAAAAAATTATATAATTAATTGACTGAGTTGTTACTTACGTTTATATCACGTTTGTGGTAGCGTTGCTATTACTTGTGTGGTTACTACTTGAGTTGTCATGTCAACATTTCTTTTTGGATGAAATATGAAACCCAAGTATAATTTCTTACATTCATTAGATAAATATCATCATTAAAGTATTTTAAATTTACCTAAAGACTCTGTTATAAATAATTAATAAAATCATTTTTAATAGATTGTTATAATTATTAAAAAGGTGATCCAACTATAATTATAAAGCTAGAATGTTGATTTTTCAAATGATATTATAAAAAATTACCCCTTAATCAGAAAATAAAAAATTAGTAATAATAAATTTGCAAACTTTATAAATTTTTGTATTTAATAAGATTATCTTAGATGACAATAACTTGGTGAATGGTGAATATTAGTATTAGAAGGATAATTTAATAATTATTGTTAAATCCAAAGTGAGAGCTTTCAAATAGTAATATGAATATTCTAATAGAAAATTGTTTCCTGTTATATAAATCAATTAGAAATCATATTATTATTAAATAGTGATAATTAAATAAATAAATAATAATTTTAAAAGATAATTTAATTTTGATTATAAAATCAGAAACAAGATTTTTCAAATAATATTAAAAATATCTTAGTAGAAATTGTTTCTTATTATTTAGGTCTAATTTAAAGTTATATATCAAACTTATAAATAATTAGTGAATATGAAATTTATAATTAATTGGTAATTATAAACTCAGTGATTAAATAAAACATATATGTACAAACAAAAATTAAAAAAATTGGAATTGAGTTAAACAAATTTTCATTTTATATAGTAAATTGATGTAATTATTAAGTCAGACATAATTAAAACTTGAAAAAATTGAAATTGAGTTAAAAGTTTATTATTTTGATAACATGTATACAATCATATATTAGATATGAATATATATAATATTTTAATTTAAAATATTTTAGAACCAGTTAGAAAGTTTAAAATAGTTTAAAAGATTTAGAATAATTTAACAAAAGTTAAGATAGTTTAAGAAGTTTAAGATAATTTAGGAGGTTTAGAGTAATTTAGGAGGTTTAGGATAATATAGGAGGTTTTGGATAGTTTAAGAGATTTGGACAAAGGTTTAGGATCAAGATAAAATTCTGAAAGGTTTAGGAATTTCAAAATAGGTAGTATTGTTTTTTATAAGATTAAACTTGTTAACAAATAAAAAAATTATAAGATTAAAAATAAATTCTAGTTAATTTATCATGAACTGTGTTGAGATAGATTCAATAGGTTATAACCAATCTTCCTAAGTTCTGGCACAGATAGAATGTAACCTTATGAATTTATGTGTGATTTAAAGTGTCAAACCCAAGTATGTAATTACATCTAATATGTGATTTATTTGAAAAATGACTTATGAATTTTAAAATGATTTAAGTTATATTGATTAATAAAAAGTTCTATTGAATAATTGACTCTATCATATATTGAAATATAAATAAATAAATAGATAATTCACACTATAAAATTGCATTTTTTATTTAATAAAAGAACAATATCTATTTATCAAAAGTTGCATAGCATTCTCATAAAGATAATTATGGGAAGATTATTGTAAATGATAATAATGAATACATGATATAATTTTATTTTGTATTATAAAAATTTTCTAATTTTTGTTCTAAAAAAATAATTGTGTATTTATTAAATTTTATTTATTATGATAGCAATAAATATCTTATTGATTTTGGTAGAAAAGAACATATACAGTATATGAGTTTTATACACAACAAATAGTACTTGATTTAATATTATCTGTCTTTACATGGTTTATAAACTGCATAGCATAAACACAAATAGTAAATAATTCCAAATATATAGATTTTTTGAAATATCATGACAGTAAAAATTCTTTATTTTAAATGATTGCATACTGGCTGCTTTAATTTAAATAAAGCTATACTCTATAATTCCAGTGATCAAATAAAATAATGAAATATAAATATAATAGAATTTAAATATAATAAAATAAATGAATAAATAATTTTAGAGAAAATACAAAAGTTATACAATAATATAAAGGGTGCATTCACATAGAGATTTGGATTTGGATTGGATTAATCTAACATCCAATCTGAATTGAATATGATCTGATGAATCCTAATGCTTTATATGAGATAGATCACGAGATGTGAATTTTGTCCAATCTAACTCACGAAGTAGATTGGAATTTTATTATTAATAATTCAATCCAGATTGAATTTTGGATTAATCGATCCAATACCCTATGTGAATGTACCCAAAGATTAAAAAAAAAATTCCCAACAAATTAATGATTAATTTTTCTGAATTTCATTTTCTTCAACTATGCAAAATTTAAAGATTGTTAGTTTCATTAATTAAATGTATTAAACAAATGATTCAAAAATATAATACTCACTTATATCATTGGAAACTTCAATATCCCACTGTCTTGTAACTAAATAATAGTGAATGTAAATATTTTATGTAAAAATGAATATTTTTTATTGCTAAAAATATAGGTAATTACCATATGAATTGGTTTCAAATTTCATTGATTTCAAAAAAGGCAAAGGTCTACTTGTATATATTGCTTCGGGATGCTTTTCGTTTGGATCATATTGAATAAAATTCTTGTTTGATTTATTTGCTGCTTTAACTTGTTCCATTATTGCACTATCATAAGAATATTTATCAAGTTGAGATTTCAATTCTTCAGCAGATGGACGGTTGAGAGATTCAAAATTCCAGCATTTTCCCATTATTTCTTTGAAAAATTGAGGAATTTCACATTTGATTTCAGGTTTATACCCTTTGCAAATTTTCATTGTAAGATTTAAATCATGTGAAAAATTATAATATGGCGAATAGCTAGTTAGAACTTCTAACATAACCATACCAAAAGAATAAATGTCAGATGCTTGAGTATATTCTCCTCTATTCAATGTCTCAGGTGCCATGTATGGAATTACACCATAAATTTTTTCTGGATCATTTTCTGAAACTGGTTTGCACAATCCAAAATCAGTAATATAACATAAAACTATATTTTGATTAACTATATTACCAGAATGAAAATCTTTATGCATTAAGCCGATTTCATGGATATTTTTAAGTCCATTTACAATATTTAATAGAATAGTAGATTTTCCTTTCCAAGTTAATTTTTTAAACTTGTTATTCAATATATTTTGAAGACTACCTTGTTCTGCACAATCCATAACCATTATATATCCATTTTTTGTTGGATTTTTAGTGATGCCATATATTGCAATTGCATTTTTACCTCGAAACTTAAGTTGATTTTTAATCTGAAATATTTATTAACATAAAATATAATTATTATAATGGAAATTAAAAATTAAATAACCTGAAATACTTACCTCTTGCAAAAAACCATTTTTATTTGTTGAATTATCAAAACTCTTTAAGCAAACATTTCGTTTATAGGACCTTTCCCAATTTTTTACTCCATAATTCCAATTCCAAATAAATCCATCAAGCCAATTTGCTTTATATACTGTGCCAAACCCTCCTTTAGCAAGGAATGTGACATTCTCAAGTCTGTCAAATGGAATCCACTCAATAATTTCTTTATTATTACTTGCATTTAGTTGTGTCTGTTGAATAAATCCATCAATTTCCCTATCTCCACTTGTCCATTTATCAAATTCATTTTGAAACTTTTTGACATTACAAGAATGGCACCAATATACTCCAGTATTATGTTGATTACATTCACTACACCTTTCATTAACACTGAGAATATTATTGATAATTAGTTAAAGAATTATTATCAGATATTGAATTAAATTAAAACATTGATTTCAATAATTATAAAATTAAATAATCACAGACTGTAATATAATTTATATTTAAATTAATTGGCTATTATTGAAAATTAAAACATTGATTTTAATAATTATAAAACTCACGAACTGTAAAATAATTTATATTGATTAGTTTATCATTGATTAAAGAATTGTTTTATAATATTAAAATATTGATTTCAATAATTATAAAATTAAATACTCACGAACTGTAATGTAATTTATATTGATTAGTTTATTATTTATTAGAGAATTGTTAAATAATATTAAGCATTGATTTCAATAATTATAAAATTAAATACTCACGAACTGTATTATAATTTATATTGATTAGTTTATTATTGATTAGAGAATTGTTATATAATATTAAATCATTGATTTCAATAATTATAAAATTAAATACTCACATGCTGTAAAATAAATTATATTGATTAGCTTATTATTGATTAGAGAATTGTTACATAATATTAAAACATTGATTTCAATAATTATAAAATTAAATACTCACTCGCTATAATATAATTCATATTGATTAGTTTATTATTAATTAGAGAATTGTTATATAATATTAAAACATTGATTCCAATAAATATAAAATTAAATACTCACTTACTATAATTTAATTTATATTTTCTGCAACATCTGTACTATCTGAAAGATTATTTTCAGATGTTGGAATTCATGTAACTTCTCTTAGAAATAGGTTAAATTTACATTTAGTCAATCAAATTCTTTTTATTAAATGAAATCATACATATATAGAAATGTTTCCTTAATAATCATAATTTTTAATATTAATTTATCAATTTTAAATGTTAATTTTGATTTAATATTAA